TGTTATTTCTGTATTTCTAACCCCTAATCGCAGAATATTCCAATCTTCTCGGTAATTATGATCATAATTTGTTTCAGTTTTATCCGTCCCTGTTTTTATTATGGCGTTTTAATACTATTAATGTGTCACTCTCCTAAACAAAAATAAACAAAATGGTTAACTGTGTATTCAGTCCAGTAGGCAATGAATTATGTTAAGAACACACACGAAGAGACTCTTTCCAACGAATTTATTATAAAGCTGTACAATCGTATATTTATGGTTTTATAAAGAAATTATATCCGATGAGGGAATTAGGCCAAAGATGTGAATACATGAAGTAATAATAGTATGAAATGCAATTAAAATATTTGTGATTATAATCATAGTTTTATGTCAAGTGACAAAGCAAATTAATGCCATATATAGAATAATACATAAGCTGTATAGATTTTGGAGAGAGGTATATAATTATAAGATTAGTAGACGAATATAAAATGTTACGTAACATGGCGTGAAATTTGATAAGATAGAATTCAATACTGTAAAAATAAAAATATGCAAATTATTAATTTGAGATTTAAAATGTCAATTGGAAAAGATTCAGAGTGAGAATAGTATTAATAATAATAATAAAAATAATCGAAGCAATAAGGGAAAAGTACATAGAATAACTAAATAAACTAAATAAATAAATGTCTATCGCTACATGGCCAAGGCAGAAGTAGGGATTGTACATACTTCTTTTGTACACAAAATCTGGCTTAAAGTCATGCATTGCCAAGGCTTCAGCTGTCTTTAGAAGTCTGTAGCGAAGAAAACGCGGGAAGTTAGCATGGATTCTACATATGATCATGAAATCATGGTCAGGGTTGAACGAGTGACAGAAGTCGATCAGAATAGAGCTTTACACACACTTCCTTTCTCCCTTGTAAAACCAAGCTGGAATATGTTCTCGTATCCATATGAAAAGCGTTCTCTGACTACGGCCAGTGTACCTTGCTCCACAAGAGCAGGTAAGCTGGAAAATGCACATGGAGGCTGTCAGATGGAGGAGCTTATCTTTTACAGAGGTAGAGAACAATTCGTGCCTCGTGAACCTCATTTGCAGTTCTGCTGCAAAGAACGCCTTACTGACCGATTTAGAGAGACGATTTTTGAGCAAATCTGAAGCTTGATCACCTTTGAATTCCAAGTTCATACGGTTTTCTTAGGAACTGAGTCGGTTACCAGTTTAGAATGCTTATCTTTCATGTTGCTGTCTATAAATCGGTTAGGGTGACCGTTTTCTGCGACTGTAGCTTTTAAGAAGTCAAGTTCTGAGTCATCGCATTCAGAAATACAAATTTTCCTTATCCTAAAGCAAAGTGAATGAATTAAGCTCCTTTTCCTGAAAATAGGCACCCAACCGTAAAAATTAGTTAGTTGTCCGTTCCATATACATTTAACTATGATTAGAATCACAAATATTTTAATTGCATTTTCAAGTTTTTCTAGTCATTGGGTGCTGGTCATCATTAGCCGTAGGTCTACACACTATAGAATCAGGCCACAACATTGATTTTGAAAACATTGAATTATTCCAGGAAAATTTCAGATATCACGAAGAACGTCTAAAAGCAGAAGCATTTCATATCAGTTGGAATACAAATTGTCTGAATAGGAATGATGGATTAAAACAGAATCTGACCTGGTCACAACACCTCCCTCCCCTCCCCCATGGAGTGACAAAATCAACACAAATGTGATAAGCAAGTTCACTATGTAAACACACACTCCTATTATAATTTTACACACTGATCAAATTCAACATTCTACACTTGATTTTGTTATCTTTACCGATTGACCAACTTGACAACGAAAAACGACCCCAGACAGACGAACGATGATCAAGTTGTAAAACTTTATTTTTATTTTATAACGGACGTACTATTATCATTGTTATTTGGTTTAGTGATCTTCTTTGCTATTTCGACTTTCAATATGTCTCGTTATCTTGACCTAAGTCTATTTTCCCACCCCTTAACTCTTTGTTATATATATATGCTGAGATTTTGTAAATTCCGGTTTAATAATACTTTAATAAAGCTATTAACAATAAATAGCGAAATGTCAGTAAAAACAATATCGTTTTGTTTTTCATTCATTGGGAAATACGAAAACCTTTATCATTTTCATCGCTAACATTTATATCACACCTTGTTGGAGTTTCCAAGAACTATCCATATTTTCCGAGGAATTCGCTGTTATTGCTGCTGCCTGTTTTGTTAACTCACTGTCCATAGCGACAGGCGAATTTAATTCTTGTGACTGCAGTTTTCTTACAGAGCTAGGTCATGAAAATGTCGTTAACTTTCCCGCCAGATTGGATACTTCGCTTGATCTTGTACTTATAAATGGCCTTGGAATATACGAAGCTCGTAAAAGAGCCCCACTCTTTAACTCAGATCATTGTATTTTACAAAATTTACCCAAAAGTTACGGAAAGTTACACTAGAGAACCTTTGCACACCTGTCCAAGAAAATTGAACATAGATGTTACTCTAATGAGAATGTTCAGATTCTTAGGAGCATGCTCAAAGACACTAGGGGGATCTGTTCGATGAAGACTCTCTTGATGACACTATCTCTTATATTACATGTTATCTCAAATTTCGTCTTGACACCTGTTTCCTCTAATATATGGAAACTTTGCAAGGAAACTACTGTTGGTAAGCGGATGAATAGTATTCCTTATTCATTTGATGTTTGTACACTGAAAAAGTCTTTCATACATTCTCCCACAATTACTTAGCTTTCTAGTGTCACAAGTGTTAATGAAATCTGCTTCCCTGGTTTCAATACAAATGATGTTCTAAAATGTCTCCAGTCAATGAACCCTTCTTGTAATCCAGGACCAGATGGTTTGCCTAGCCTTATTCCTAAAAAATATGCAGATATCCTGTGTTATCCTCTCATGGACATATTTACTGAATCTTTTTCGAGAAATGTCGCGCCAGCCGTTTTGAAAGACATTAAAATTGTACCCATACCTAAGTCGTCTACTGGAACATGTATTAAATTCAGACCAATTGTTATCACTTCTCCTTTTCTGAAAACTCTCGAAAAGTTGCTCTTACTTAATCTCGAACATTCACTTAAGGTCTTTAACGATCCCAAACAGTTCTCTTACAAGCATAGTAGAAGTACTTTAGATGCGGTTTCAGTCTTGCATCATAACATTGTCTCCAGTTCGGACAAAGCGGTTAAATCTGTTCGCTTCAACTTCCTAGATTACACATCTGCTTTTGACTCATTACCTAGGTATATTGTTTTAAATAAGCTTTCTGAAACTCAAATTGAATGTTGGGGTGTCAGCTGGCTGCATTCTAATTTCTCAGGAAGAAAGTAGTACACTGCATGTCAGGAGAAGTTGCCCACTTCATTGCTCACTGAGGCTGGTGTCCCTCGAGGCGCTGGTCTTTCTCCTTTTCTGTCTTCTTTCTTCTTGCACGACTTGCCTCACTCTGGTGAAATGAACTTCGTTTTTCAATATCTGTTAACTTCCAGCTAGACTGTACTAAGATGAACAGCTTTCTATCAGGAGTCACCAAACGGCCTTCACCTGATGGTCGTTAAATTAAATCCTTCCAAATATCAAACTGTTAATTTCAGTTTTCGATGTAAAGGTAAGTTAAGTGAAGCTGTTAATTCCTATGACCGTTGCAAAGTTGATGATATTGATATAGAAACCAAGTTTGAAGTTAAGTATTTTGGATTAATTCTTTCTTCCGACCTATTCTGGTCTTCCCATATCTTAGCGATTTCTGAAAGAATATTTCGTCAGACTTTTTAGATTAGGAAGTTAAGACACTCAGGCATAACTCAACCTCTCCTCTTACAGTTTGTCAACTCGTGTATTTTACATATTCTTCTTTACTGTTCACCCTTGTTCTTTCCTGGATTGCTTAAAAAAGACTATGTCATACTTCGTAGAACCGTGAAGACTATCAGTAGGACGAGTGGTATCCCATTGGGCCATTTCTTTGACACTGTCACTGATATGCACTTGATGTCATGCAAGAAATTTGCTAAAGGAATTTTGTCAGACTCTGAGCGCCCACTCTACGCGCAGCTCCAGCATTAAGTCTCCTCAGGTAAAACAAGAAGTCATTTCAGAAGACTTTATGCACGTACGTCTAAGTATACAAATTCCACTATACCATATTTGACTCGTACTTTATGTGATGAAAATAGTGTCAGGCATGAAATAACTAACCTTCTATGCACTAGTAAATAAACTGTTTTCTCCATCCTTATTCCACCAAGCTTTATTGATATTGCGATTCTTTTATTTATAATCCTCTTAATTTCTTGTATATATTTGTTTATTTTTTCAAATGTGTAAACATAATTTAAGCTGTGTTATAACTGTTAATTTTGTATATCCCCTAACCATACTGTATCGACAGGATATTAGATTCACTACTCCAAAACATGCTAGAATTTCCAAACTGAATCGACAGTACTGTTTGAAACAAACTCACTGTTATTATTATTATTATGTTTCTTGTTCTCATTTCGTACTTTGAATATTTTTGACTTTATATAGTAAATATGGGCAAATTCCTCTGGTTAATTTTGTTTTAATTTTTAACTTTATTTATATTTTGAGTAAATCAGATGCAATATTGTGACAAATGCAGAGAATCCCATTCTGTATTAGAAGTACTGTTTTAGAAATAAAGTGGACTTTTATTATTATTATTATCGACAACATGTGAACAATACCTGTGGACTTCGATGCCATCGTACGTTATTCGCACTAATTCCCTCTGTTTAGTAAATGGAAAAGTCTACAAATAATAAAAATATAAATTATACGTAACGAAATCAGTCTTTCAAAATTCACGTCATAAACATAGATTTTTGGAATACCGAACAATGTATGCTGCTGCTGTTAGTAAGAGGGTAACACAAAATATCAGCAAAATTCCTGAGAACAATGGCAGGTAAGCCGTCAGGATCAAGGCTTTGTAGACCGGAGACATTTAGGCACATCAAGGGTATTAAAACCACTAAAATTATTGTCAATATGATTTGTATCATTAGGAAGGATATCGACAGAAGAGCACGTGAAAAACTTATTAAGAGTGTGGACATTGAGAGATGGGACAGAAATACATCGCTTACCGCTAATAATTTCTTTGAAAAGTTTCCACAAATTAGAAGAGGTTTTACATGACAAAAAGCTTTGGTTATATAAAACATTTAATCTTTTCATTTCGAGTTTTATCAGAGTATTTAACTTTTTTACACCTTACTTATCATTTGTTTTGAACAACATTTCTTTATCTCTACGTAGCTTTTTGAGATATGGCGAAGAGAAGCGATTAAATCGAATGTAATAAACAGTAGTGTTTGTGATTGTGTCATCTAATGCTTGTTCTGCAAATAAGTCCCAGTTAGTGTCTTTCAACATGCATCTGAGCTTATCTATGTTGTCTTGTGTGTAGCATCTCCGTTGAACTTTACTGTAGAGATGAGAGAGTACACCTTTGTGTGATTTGGAATATATTTTACGCAGTACACGTATGATGCAGTGGTCAGAGTTAAGTAAAAGAGCACGTTTGGGAGCTTCATATATACCGACATCATTGATAAATACTAGATCCAGTGTTTTACCAAGACGGGTAGCAAACTTAACAATATTGTCATGACCAAGTGATATAAGGAAGAAGTGATCGCATGAATTAAAATCACCAGTTACTATTGATAGAGTTCTCGAAGCAAGCTGCAGCAAAAGCAGTGAATTCATCAGCGAACATAGATAAATCCGATTTAGTACAGCCAGGAGAGACATAAACATTAGAAATATAAATGAATTTGAATTTTGACAGGTGTTTCGGGCGATATCTCACAGTGATGCAATCACTGTATTCATTCGAGAATTTGAGACAAACTTTGTTAGAAATGGACCATTTTGAGTGTATAAAAGTTACAACACCTACGCCACATTTTTTCTTGGAACAAACACGGGCTTGTCGGAATACATTAAAATCATTTAGAGACACTATATTGTCATCATATGAGTCATGGAGCCAGGTTTCTTGTAGAGTGACAATACCAGTATTGTGGTGAATTCCGGACGACAACAGAATTTTGTTAGGTAAGGACCGGCAGTTGGTACTAATGATAACCGGAACAGTGGTGTGATGTATGGGTGTAGATTTTAAGGCACGCTGCCAACCACCATGGTGCTTTTTCTTGAGTTTATTGCAAATATGAAAGTTTTTGGGTTTAAAACGTTTTATAAAATCCCGGGAGTGAATAATACGATTAGAATGCATAATGTGATATGTAAACACCAATAAAATATGAGTAAATAGATGGAAAATGTAAATGGAATATGGTTGATCTATTTAGAAGTAGGAAATGATTTGAACAGAAACTGTCATGATTTTATTTATATCACATGTTCATATGGATGGTATTATTCTTCAGTGAGAAATGAAAATCATATTAAAATTAAAACCTATAGCATTCCTTCGCAAAAATATGGTGTACATTGCGTCCATTGAATGAAAATATTTCCCTCGGAATGATTACCACTGCACACAAATCCTAAAAATGTATGTACAGAAGACGCACAGTAAATCGTAAGTCAGGAAAATTCAAAGAGAAGATGGAATGTAGACAACTTTCAAACTTATCTTGTGACGTCTGTTGAAGGCAGGGTGGCTAAACTCAAGCCATCATTTGTATGCAGCTGGTTGTAATAGTTGGATTTGTTCAACAGAACGTTTAACTAAAGCAAATAGATTTGAAGATGATTTTGAACACATATATTTTCAAAAGAAAGACTAAAAGACTTTCACCGAAACGGAATATGTGCCTTAATCGAAATTTTGTTTATTAATATTCGTGCATAACATGAAGAACACAACAAACCATTTGATATTTGAGCACCCCTTGAATTCTTCATAACCCTGAATGTGATTAGTTGAAAAGCAATAACAGATATCAGGTGACCCAAATAAATTCAACAAACACTATGTTTTCTATACATATTTGAACCATATAGAAACAATGAATCAATTTTAAGGTCAAATATCCTTTTACTGAGAGGTGCGGACCTCCGAACTGATTTTAGATCATCCAACATCTCTCTCGGTTTTCCTTTACAGTTTAGCTTTTACATCCTCATTTGTAACGCTACTAATCAGGAAGATGCTACCCAGTTGTGGTAAGTGAGAGAAACAACTTTCTTCAGATTTATTCCATGACTAGAGATTGGTGTTTGCTGTGCATCAGGTATCTTTATCAATTGTCTTCTGTATGTTCTTTTGAAGTTCTTTCAGCAGTACCCCTTCCGCCATATTGTCGCTTTTCGCTACAACAATTAATACTGCGTTTCTCAGTGAAATTGTCCATTGATGAGTAAATCTAGTCATCAACAATTTCGTCTGTCTTCTGAAGCCATTCGTAGATAAAAAAATCCAACTCACCGATCTGGATTTGTTGGTTACTTATGTGAGCCTTAACTAAATTCACTATCAAATTAAAATATCACTCAATATGGTAATATCGGGCAATTTTGAGGTTTTGATAATAGAAAAGTTGGTTTAAAATGTGAAAAAATCTATCACGACTTACAGGTTCATGGGTTTTATTATAGAAGAAATCCTTTACACGAAGTACTCGAAGACCAATTTGATTGAAGTGAACAACTAAAATGGAATGTCAAAATTTACAAATCAATGAGCACTCTCTCTTGAATCACAAATTACAGTTACTTGCGTTATTTTCTTCACTGCAACTATTTCCCACAAAGTGTGGAATAAACTCATTCCATTTCATTAGAATGGAATTTGTCTTAAAGCTTGAGATTTCTGAGTAGAAAAACAACAATTCATCATCATAAGTCTGTATGTACCGCTTTCAAAAACACATCACGCCTTTCATGTGAATAAAAATACATACAAAACAATCACAAACCGTTATTTAGCAAATAGTGACTAATATATAATTGCGATCTGACTCTCCTCACTGCTACTAAAACTTCAAAGCACAGACAGAAGCCCTATGTTATGCTGGAAAATCAAAGGAGATTTATATGTAAAATAACATGTGAACGATCAATATTCGTTGTTTAGAAAATGTACAGAAGCATACGGTTTTCACTTTCACAAAATATTGTGTTTGTATGTGTGTGTGTCTTAGCAAAACTACAAAATTGTCACACTAGTCATTTTGACGACAGGCACTTACATGAAGCAGATGCGAGTATCATTTGAAGTACGACAAATAGTCTCCCAAACGAAAATAATATCCATTTAGTCGATATGACGATATGACGATTGCCCCAAGTGGAATGGCAGTAACATGGGAGAAAAATTGCCTAGAGTCAGTCGGTAATGTAGTGCGTTGTTTTCTTTCGTCTGGTAAGAAATTTTTACGGAGAAAATATAAAATATGAAAATAAGTTACAGAACCTCATCTACTGAGATCAAACATCTATACTGAATATTATAGTATTTCATTGAATATCAGAGGCCTTCAGGTGGTTCATACTCCAAACTGACATTCGAATATTGGTTTGACGCCATTTTCCTACTAGTCAACTGCTCGTGCTATCACAAAATTAAAGGACAGTTAAAATCCCAAAGTTTCCTGAAGTATACCTAACTCCCTGTCTCAGAAAATTACACTGAAGACAAAAGCGAAAATATCAGATTATTTCGAGGCGATTGAAAGACCTCATGCTTCGAGACAAAGATGGAAGTAAGTTATTTTCTGAGTTAAACATTCGCTGGATAGATTTTTCACCGTCATGTTAGACGTCTTCTCCACCAACACTGTCAATTTTTATCTTATATTTTGTAATGCAGTTAAGAATCACTGTTCCTTTGAGGAAACAATCAAAGAGAAGACCTATCTTCAGACATTTTCGCGTTGTCCTTCTTAATTCACTAGTTCATTTTTCATTTGAATTACATTAAATTATAATGCTGGTGAAAAAGCTTCATTCAATAACTACGCGGCGTTTTGTAGACGAAAATTGATTAAGGAACCATGAAATCTCTCATCAATCGCATGCCTCATCGACTTTATGACAAGACGAATACATGCATATAACTGTCATCATTTATTCCCTTAAAGTCTGCATGATTAATAACTACATGAGGACTATTCTGATGGTTATATTCCTATAGCTCGATACATGAGCTAGTTGATCGTCTTAAAAACATTTCAGTGTCAATAGAAGAGAGATTCAAAGGGATGAGTGCAGCAGGTTTACATGTTGCATCTTCTCTCAACAGCAGGCTCTCGACTTATAAACAAGTTAATCCTTAGACTGTGTGTAGAAGCGTCGAAAACCGAATCCTTTATACTACCGTGACCCCCAAGTTTTAATTTTTCTAGCTGCTTGTACAATCATTTCGCATGTGGTCAATATTCAATCGGATTTTCGGTTCTTTCTTTTTCCTCTCAAAATTCTTATTTCAAGGCATACTTTATATATAGTCTGCGCCCATGATTCTTGTGAAGAATATTCCTGTTTCCAAGCACTTGCTGTTTCATCGGTAATCATTTCTGAGTGACATTCACCACTGAATCTATTCAGGTTACGTAAGACTGTACATGACGAAGTCTCTCATTTAAGTGATTATTCTTCCTGACATGTCATTTCGTATGTTTGCACCAACTGATAATAACAACGGATATTTTAGAACACTGCATAAAATGTATAGTTTTGAAGTAAGATTACCAAAATAACACTGTTTGCTGGCCGATGTTGTTTTAATTAGACGCTGTAGTGTCAAAACACTTTCTCATATCTTATGGCATAAATGAGCTTACATTAATAAACGAAAGTCCCACTATGAATATTCCTGCTGCAGTCATAAATACCGCATAAATTGCACGGATTATATGAAGAATTTTCGACTTTGTTTTCTTCCTTATTTCGTCACCAGCTTCGAAACACCATATCCACTGACTCATTGTTGCTACAGCACAACCAAAAAAATATAAAAGAATTGAAGATCAAGTTAACATAACTGTAAGATCAATTCAATTCCCATCCTTGAATCAAGTCAACCTGTCCCGGATCAGCCTAGCGTTGTTGCAACCCAATTATCCATGCCTAACGTGTCTATCCCCTCTTGTTTAATGAACTGTGTGTATTTGTTTTTACCTCGATCTGTTTAGTCAGACATCTGAACTCATGACCTAATCAGAGTATTTTGTGAACTGTTATTTTTGCTGTTCCATGTCTTACTTTGTACTATTCTGTTGAGTTTATCTTATTTATTGATCTTCATCTGTATCTTCCTACTTGGTTAAGTAGCCACTTAAATTCTATCTTTGTGCCTATACTCTGTCTATCTCTCTTAACCCCTCTCTGTTTTATGTCATACCTTACTTGGGTTCATTCTTCTACTGACTGCTTACCTGAACGGTCGTGTCTGGTTCCGGCTAGTTCGCAATTTTGGCTTTAACGGTATTCCGCTCTGATAGCGATACCTTGCTTTCTGTTAAGCGTTGTGCTTTGTACTCTTGGAACCGTTAAGGTTTGTTGTATATATAGTTATTGATTTGTTTATTAATAGTACCGTAGAAACAGTGACCGGCTTCTTGTTTGTTCTGGACCGGGATAGCCTTTGTCTACGTGTGACTTAATTTCAAGCGATATTGCGCTTACAATAACATTTAGATAACCGAGATTCGTAATATCATTAGATTACTGCTATGTCAGTCTTCTTAATCAATGAACTCACCCATTATGCCATATGATGACATCAATGTCATGAACATGTACTGTTCTGGTGGATATATACCTAGGGCACTGTAGACAATAAAATAAATATTTGGTTACGTATTTTGAATCAGATAAAATTCGAAATTATGTAATGATAATCACTCAATGTGATAACTGCTCGAATGGCAAGAACTAATTTATCGTGCAATAAGACAGCTGGTATCTTTTCTCAAAGTATTTTTATCCGTTCTCTTTAAGGCGATTAAACTTGTAATGAAACATCATCTGGAACGATAGAAGTTATTTGATGAACTTAGGTCTGCTTTGATTGTGTGGACAAATAACCTTATGTGACAATAATGTAAATGCAAAAATTTGAAAAAATTATCAAATTTTTCACACGAATATAAGTTACTCTTTTATAGACAGTAGTATGTTATTTATTTTTATTTATTTTTGATTACAGCTTGATTCAACACCGTATTTTTGGTACAAGTATGGAATTTTCAGCGTGGATATCGGTAGCCCGAAATTCGCAGGCCGACCATAGATATCAAGTGTGCGTCGGCGTGGGCTCGAACCCCGGACCATGTGCATGGACGGCGAGAGTCCTAACCACTGTATATATAAGAAAAAGTGCTGCGGCAAATGAAAAATAATGTTCATATCTCCCATCGCTATGAATTCTCCATACAGA